GAACAGATGTATAATTAGCAGTTCTTGCCATAGCAGAAATCTAATCTGCATCTGGTAAGTTCTGGATGTGAGATTTTTGTCTCCAGAGAAGATGTTTTTGTACAGCTGTTCTTGATCTAACCTGCTTTGGAGCTATAATGACAGAGTCTAGCATTCAGTAAATTACTGTACCACTTTTAATAAAATGACATGGTTAAAAAAATAGTTATTCCTGGACAAGTTCTTTTCAACACTATTGAATGTTCAAAGTGACTTCAAAGCTGTTAGCTTTAAATTGTTTCTACATGAATCCCAAGGTACGCTAAAAACATTCCTTTCTTTAATCATTCTGATAGTTTGTAATCATTTGGGGTGCAATCCTATGCAGGTTTAGTCATAGATTATGGATGATGAATGCTGGGAATTGTATGGTATTTTTCAGCCTGTCCAGGGGCACACATAGGATTGACCAACTGATTGCCCCACTAAGCACTGAATTTCAGTTTCACTTTATAGTACTATGCCTATTTACTCAGAAGAAAGTATCACTGAGTTCAGTGGGGCTTACTTCCAGGTAACTGTGTAAAGGATTACAGCATTGGCCAACTCTACACATGTAACAGCCATGCGTTATCCTATCACTAGACAAAAGAGCTAAGGCATGTAGTCCCAGGTTGTTCAAGGGTTTGCCTAAGAGTAAATCCTGCTGAATTCAGGAGACTTATTTCTAAGTCAACAGCCTTAGGGTTGCAATACATAACAACCTTTCTGTCAATCATGAGCTCTTCTGCCCAAACACAGAGAAAGAAAAAAACAGGTAAGGGCCAAAAGAGGAAGTAGGAAGCATGTTTAGGGAAACAACCATCTCCCGCATCCACCGAAGCAATGTTGGGTATATTTCTGGCCACTGCCTACCTGCCTCATAAAAACATAAGAAGGGCTTAGTTAAATAAGGAAGACAATCATGCTAGGGAAAGTCAAAGGCAGAAGAAGAGGAAGGCAAAGAATGAGGTGGGCTGACTCCATAAAGGAAGTCACAGCCTTGAGTTTGCAAGAGCTGAACAGGGACAAGACATTTTGGAGGGCCTTCATCCATAGGGTGACCATAAGTCAGAGATGACATGACCACACAGAACAACACCCTGAAGGATCAGGCCTGGGTCTCTCGTAGCCCAGTCTTCTGTTCTCAAGGGGTCAACCAGGTGCCCACAAGAAACTCACAAGCAGCAGCTGAGTGCAACACCACCACCCTGCCCCTGTGCCCTAGGCAGACTGTCTCTGATACCAGAGGTGGCCTATAACCATGAGGACTGTTCTGTTCAGTCATGTCCGACTGTAAACCATCCTACGGGCCACATCTCTCCACTCTTTCGGATCCTGTGCCACCACTTTCAGCTGAACTATGTTCTGGCCCGCATCCTCTTCGATGGAGCCTAACCAGCTCGCTCTTGGGAGACCCGGTTTCCTCTTGCTGCTGAACATTCCAAGCACTGCATATTTTTCTAACGAGCCTGATTGCATGACATGGCCAAACTAAGTGAGCCTCAGCTTTGTTATCTTGCTGACCAGGGACAAGTCTGATTTAACATGCTCTAGCACCTGCTTGTTCTTGACTCTAGCTGTCCATGGAACGCACAGGAGCTCTGCCAACAGCACAGCTCGAATAAGCAGATTTTCCTCTTGTCCAGCTTTTTCATTGTCCAGCCATAAGGACTATCAGCCCCTAATAGCCTTCTCCTCCCTGAATCCATCCAATGCCCTTTGCAAGCCATCCAAACTGGTGGCCACGTCTGCATTCAGAATCAGTGAATTCTACAGATGCTCGATGTATAACGAGAGAAGGAAGGAAAGGCCTCCTTCTCTTCCCTGCACACAATCCTGCATATCTGTATCAAGCCACCCTTAATCGCCATTTTTCCTAAGTTGAACTTAAACCCTTCTCCCCCACAAAAGCCGAGCCCTGCGCTTCTCTCTGTCAGACCGCCCGCTGGGCAACGACCCCCCCCCCGGCCCACTCCTCAGATGCGAGGCCAGCGCCGGGTCCAGCCAGGGGAGCACGGCGCTCACCCACGTCGCGTAGATGCCCCAGGGCCGCCGCCGCAGGCGCAGAGCACGGCGGACACACAGGCTCCATCGCTGCCAAGGCCCTGCCAGGCCGCGAGGCCGAGGGTTGCCATGGCGACCGGATGCGGCCTAGGCGCTGCCGCGAATCCCCCGGGAGGGGGAGGCGGCAGGTGGGCGGCGGCGGCAGCGCCGCCGGAGCGAGGAGGGAAGAGCGAGAGGGTCGAGCACGCCCGCCAGTTAGGCTGAGGCTGCGATGCGGAGGCGAGGTAAGGGGGCGGCCTGCTGGGGCAGGACCCCCAAATCTCTGGGCGACCCTCCACCCCCCTCGCGGCTGTCCAGGGTTATCTGCTGGGAGAAGGGGACGCTCCCTGCTGCATCTGTTCCCCGGACTAGCAGGCTTTTGGCCCCCGTGTGCTTCCCCGCCGGCTGGCTGTTGAGGTTTTCCCCGCGCCAAAAGTGCTCCCCCTCCATGCCTTTTACAAATGGGGTGCGCTTGGGTGACTGGACCTTTTACTTTTATAGGCTCTCCCACTCGCGCATGCCTGCCTAGGCTTGGGCGGGGGTATTTATATACCTGCGGGCCTGAGCCCCAGATCTTTTCTGTGCCTAGCACCGCCCTTCCTGCAATCCTGACACTTATTTTGGATTAAGTCCCATTGAATTCGATGGAGGTTTTTTCCCCCCCTGTGTAGCTGTGCTTATGGGGGCACTCCAGTGCCAAGCAGCAGCCCCATCAAACATACGATCCATGAGGGTCCCTGTTTCATGTCCTTGATTTAAAACGCGCACACACCTATCCCTCTTTGTAAAATTTATAAAACAACCTTTTCCACAGGGTGCTGTGCACACCATTGAAAGCAATATAAAAGCCAAATAGTTAAATACCCAGAGGCCACTAAAATGGGTCACTCTTACATGTAGGGTGCAGTCCTATGCGTTTTGAGACAAAACGAAGGTAGGCTGGGGAATACTGGGAGTTGTGGGACTTTGCATTCTTAGTGGCCGTCGTGCCTTTAATGGAGAATTTGGGGAGGCCTTTTAAAAATAAAAATATGAATACATGCATTTCATTCCAGGGTGTTTGCAACACTCCCCTGCAGCATCATGTTTTGAATGCGTCAATTTTCTTCCTTTGGATGACTATTACCTAAATATTATCTGGAAATAAGTCCCCCTAAACCTATGGGACATATTTTGCTGACTCCACTGTTCTGAGCTGTAGTCACTTTTCTTGAAATGCAATCAAATCAGCTGTAATTTTAAAACTTAGCATATAAAAACTGGTATTGGGTGTTAAACCCTTCTGACTACTGTGACTGCTGCGGGCTAAATACACAGTAAATACAAGCATCCTTCTTGCTACCTCACCTCCCCCAAACACTTTTTATGTTTTGAAGGTGCTTCAAGAATGCACATTCTACACCCAGTTTCCCCCTCCCAATTTAAACTCATCACATGGAAAACTGCAGAACCTGCTGCAGAATGCTTCCTAGGACAGATAGTATTTTGCATAGGAGCAAAATCTAGCAAACATTTGGAATACGGGGAAAGCTTAAATGTAGGTGTAGTGCTTATTAGTCACTGAAAAATGGTTATAGAGGAGGAATTGTATAAATGCTCAGATGTAGATCAGGCCCTGTTGGCATCTAGATACTGATATCAAGAAGAAACAACCTATGCAACATTATGAGGAGAGCTTGTGTAAGTTTCTTACTGTTTTGAGTTAGTGGATACATTTGAAATTTGGAGGGAGAGCAGTGAGTGCTGTCACAAAATGACTCCCATGAGAGGTGGGCTGCGGTAGTTCATAAAATGAGGGCCATAGTGGACATGCCTGGTCACAAAACACCCACTTTCCAGAAAGTAAATTGATAATAGAGAAGGAGCTTCCCAAGAACCTCGGTACAATGCAGAGGTGACGTCTGAGCTCCAAAATACAAAAACACTCAACTGAACCCACATTAAGATGGTGCTTGAAGCACCATATAGCTGGCATCCTCCCAGTTAAACATTTGTTGTTGTTGTTAGTCGCAAAGTCATGTCCGACCCATCACAACCCCATAGACAACATTCCTCCAGCCCTTCCTGTCCTCCACCATCCCCCAGAGTCCACTTAAGCTCACACCAACTGCTTCAGTGACTCCATCCAGCCACCCCAACCTCTGCTGTCCCCTTCTTCTCTTGCCATCTATTGTTCCCAGCATTAGGCTCTTCTCCAGGGAGTCCTTCCTTCTCAAGTTAAACATTATGTGATTTTAAAGAAAGGTAACAGTCAGGAGTGACCAAGAACATGTGGTGGATGCCAAGAGAGGTGTCTGCAAGTACCTGATGCCCAGAAGCACCTTGCTGAAGCTGCCCCAGGCATAAGGCCGCATTCTTCATTCTCTCCTCCCCACTGTGCTTTCAAACAGTCTCCCATGTGAATAAAGAACCTAAAACAGAAATTGATACTCTCTTAATATAGTGTTATATTTGTTCTTTTATTGTTCCCTGTTACGGAATCTGTTTAGAAGTGATGCAGTAGATAAAGTTGCCATTTTACTGAGGCCAAGAAAATTCCGGATGCCAAGCAGCTGGTGAGCCATTTAGTATGTACAAGGTTTATAGACGATTTAAAAGCAGTGACTATCATGGAGTTCAGAGCTAGTTTGAAACCTGTGACTGTCTTGGGGGTTGGAGAAAAAAAGCATCCTATCAACTCTAGTATGATTTGCAAAGATTGTGAGTAGTTGCCCTACCATCACGTCCCAAAGAGCAAAAAGCAGTATTTTTTTCCTGAAAAATGCCATCTAGTTCCAGTGCTGCCAAGATTAACTTGCCATTTGTTGAGAAGATTGAAAAGCTGTCCCTTAGCTGGAATCTGAGAACACTGAGTTAAACAATGTATATTATAGGAATATGCTGCATTTGAAATATAAATTGATACTAGTCATGATCAAAATGGCAAGGAGAACTCCTTTTTAACATTTAGTAACATTTATTTCTGCATTCGGTATCAAGTACATAAGTGCAAATATTTAGAGTCCATAATTAAGTCCTACAGAGAACGTCATACAAATTTGTGATACAAGGTACAAGCCGGAAGTCTTCAGTTCCCATACATGTAAATCAGCCCGTTGATCCCTCAAGAACAAAAAGAAAAAGAAGTACTGGGTGGGTGGGTTTTATTTGAATTTTCTTTTAGAGAGTTATACAAAACAGATTATACCATTGAAGTACTGATTTCTCTTTTGTTTTGTTTTTATTACTTGTGCTGGAGAAAAACACAACACAAAGACATCAGTCTACATTTCTAGATAGACACTAAAGATAAACCCAACCAGCGAACCCAGTGGACATAGAAGCAAAACTGCATCAGTGCACCAAGCAGGGAAGCCCTAGCCACAGGTAACATTAAAAGTTATCGAAGCGATGCCAATAGAAGTAGTAGTAGTAGTAACAGTAATAGCAGAAGCACTAGAAAATAAAAAATAGAAAGTTCAATAGTATTTTTAGGCTCTCACCATCATGCACTTGGGAAGCAACACAAGAACCACACCTAGAACACTTTTCTCTTTACTATACTTTAGTGCTTGACATACGTGATTGCAAATAGTCTAAGAGAGTACAGAAACAGCAGGAAAGGAGAAAAAACAGCTGCTTCGTTGTTTCACATCTCTGAGATCATGGTGTTTGAAAGAGGGGTGAAGACAGAGGTAACCTGATTATAGCAGTGGAGGGAAGACCTCACTACATTCAGTACAAACATACCTTTCCTCTCCAGGGTCAAGCTCTGGAAAAAACAGTTCTGCAGATGTGAAGCAGAAGCTGGCTGTGCTGATTGGCTGCCTCCCTACAATATCTCCTAAATTCTTGCCCCTCCCCATCTCTGGAGTAACTTTGCACTTGAGTAAAGATTCCTTAGAAGAGGAAAGACTGGCATTGAGCTGATATATTAAGAGAAATGCATGACAATTCATGTAGTGCTCTTAATTTTTTTGTTGTGTTTTTGAGCTGGACAGCCAGCCTGAAGCACAGATAGCAGGGAGAGGAGTGCAAGACAGACCGCTGGGCCGAGGTTTCATCCCTGGCATGCATGCCTGTCATTCCATTAGGAAATCGGGAGGAAGCCAGGCTCACCCTGCAGCTGAGGGGCATGCTGCGAGCTCACTTTCCGTTTTACGTCTGCCTTCACCCAGACAGAGAGAGAAAGGAACAATAAATTATAAGTAAACAGTAAGAACAGAGCTGTTTTCCTCCCAGACTCCCTCATCATTCAGTCCTGTAGCAGATGGATTCTTGCTGCCGATTTTAATCAGCCTTTCTCTTAGCGCCTGGGATTTTTGCTTGGATCCTAGAGATAAAAAAAGGAATTACAAAAAATGAAAAAATAGACAAGAGATTCAACTGAGCATGTTCCACAGCATCATTAATTCTCTCCTCTAGAAGCTGTATGAGGCGAAACTGAAGGAACTGGGTCTCTTCAGCCTGGAGAAGAGGAGACTCAGAGGGGATCTGTTGGTGACATACAGGTATGTGAGGGGGTGTCACAAGGAGATGGGTAGAGACCTGTTCTCCCCTGCAGGGGAAGGCAGGACGCACTCCAATGGAGCAAAGCTCAGGGAGCCAAGGTTCTGTTTGGATGCCAGGAAGCACTTCCTGACAGTCAGGACCCCGAGGGTGTGGAATGGACTTCCACGGGAGGTCGTTGAGGCCCCATCGGTGAGGGTGTTCAAGGATAGGCTGGATGTCCACATGGTGGGCATGTCGTGAGCGGAGCCGGCTGGTGCTGGAGGTCAGACTAGATGGCCCGGGAGACCCCTTCTGACTCGCTGTTTCTATGTTCTTTCAGCAGACTTTTTTCCACTCAAGAACATTTAGAGCTGAACTATGTTCAGTGCACAAAAAGAGTCTGCTTCTTGTCTGTTTAGATCCTTCAGCGACTCCCTAAAGTTAATTGCTCTTGAGATGAAAACAAGCTGGGGAGCCTAGAAACTGTGTGTGTATTTTCAGATCAGGCCCTGAAAAATCTTCGTGCCCAGCAACTATGCCATAGGTCTGAGAGCTGGGGCTCACACTGTTCTTACATGGAAAGGAACCCAGTTCTACCTGAAAGGTAGAATCTTGAAAGGTCCCATCAATCAAACTGTCTTGACGGGCAGGGAATGTTGAAGAGACTGTGGCAGTAGCTTCTTTCCAAAGAGAAGGAAGCTTGTCCTTGTGGTTGATTGGGATTTTAGAAAGTGGGGTGTTATCCCTAGTTGTACAGGGGAGAGAAGATGAGCCATTTGTAAGATTCTGCCCCTTGCATATTTGTGGTTCAAAAAAAAAAAAGAAATACTCGAATTGTGTGGTTTGCAGAAACACAATATCAAGGGACCACCTATTTGAACCCTCTGCCATAAACTTTCCCTAATGTGTAACTGCTAGTATTGATCAGGGAAGTAGAGACTTCAGGTGTGTGGGATCTCCTTTGAGTTTTACTGCAACACCTAAATCCACTGACTAGAACTTGAGTGTCAAATCTCAGGCCCACAAGTCAGATACAGCCAACCACTCTGGCCCTCAAGGGTTTTCCAAACGGCCATGACCTTTCCTTGCCCTTTCACTGCTGATAGTTGAGCAGTTTCCTGGCTTTTGCCTTTCCTGCCTTCTAATAGGGCAAAATGCCTCTCCTAAGTTTTAGTTACTGGTGGCAAGAGCTTTAAAACAAAACTGGCTGGTCCTTCAGCTCTGCCCCTTTTCCTTTTGGTCTCACATATCACTGGATGTTTACCCTGAGATCTTAGAAACTTCTCAGGCTACAAGAGAGTTGAATTAGAGCCATGTGCAATCCTGTAGATGTTTAGATAGAAAAGTATCCTGAAACTAAAGACCCTTTTCTGTCTAATCATGCATAGGATTGCCCTGAGCACCAAAGAACAAAGTGCAACTTGCTGGGCACAGGAATTTGGTTTGAGAAACAGAACTAAGATGAGCTCCCACTCTTTCATGCTCAAATCCACTTACACTTTTCCCAATTTTTCTTCATTTCAACAGTACAATTTAGCAGGAAGGAGTCTCCGACCTGGTTTGCATGATCAAAGCAAGCCAGGATAGCTTATTTTATTTACGCGACCTTAGTTGCCATTAGTCTAATTTCCATCCTGGTACCATTTGTGGTATCATCCAAACCCAGGTAGCAAACTCATTGGGAGGAGAAAAGACCCTCAAATACCAATGGACTTTTGTTGGGTTAATGAAGGTTGTTTCTCCCTCCTGTAAGCCACAGTGCTTGAACTTGGATCATATAAGAAACTGTGCTTGGCAGGTAATTGAAACTGGTGGCACATGCCAGGCAGCATTAACCTAACTATTTAGGCCACGATGAACGAGCCCATTTTGTTGTAGCTACTGATAAACAACTGGAATTCAGAAATCCATCCTGATCTACAGTAAATTGCCCAGAGATCTTCAGTTGATCCTGAACAACTTTTGCCCATTCCTGTCCTAAATGACTTATAGAATCACACAGTTGGAAGAGGCCTAGGTGGGCCATCGAGTCCAAGCTCAGTGCAGATTCTCTCATCCAGATTCCAACCAGCCCTGACCCTGCTTAGCTTCCAAGATTAGGTAGGATCAGGCACTCGATAAGCTGAAAAAAAAAGAGCAATAACTCACTTTGCCACAACAGTATTTATGTGGGTCCTCACAAGTCCCAAGTATTGGTCAATCTGTGCCTGAAAAGAAGGTAGGGAAAGTCAGCAAGATATCAAGATGGCAGAAGAATTCATACATTTTACAGAGCTGATTTACAGAACTCAAGAAAGTTCCTGACACATACTCCTGCAGTGCAGGCCAGTGGCTCCCATGCTGGCAGGACTGTGTAACCACTTCAGATTTCACTCGTAATGTTAAAGAAGCTATCCATGGTGCTAAATCTATTTGGAGCACAGGCTTTAGCATTATGGATTGCTCCTTAAAAGCATGGAGTTGAGATCTGGATACCCAGCTCCACTCACATTGCACTCCTGAGGTAATCTCCAGACAGTTAAAAATTCTTCCAGCCACTTTCTGGTGATACCGTCTCTTATCTGCTTCCCAGTTGGTAATCATTTGCTCAAGATAAAATAAATAAAATAATAATAAAATAAAATAATTAATAAAAATAATGGGGAGGGAATGCTCTCACATTGTCCAGAACACACAATTGGTTTCCCAGAGATTACATTACAAAAAAATGGCATGGATGGTGGCAAATGATGCTAAAAACTGATCCTTTTCTCATATGGCTGGGAGTAAGCACATGGAAGTCAGCAGATACATAATTGCACTGTATGAATTACAGCAACTTTTTAAAAGGCAAGCCTGGGGTTGAGGAGGCAAGATTTGGTCAGGAAGCAAAAGCACCTCTGCCAGAAATATGCATTGTTTCTTGACTATGAAATGAAGAATATTTATTATTTTCGATTTATATCCTGCCTTTTTCCCACAAAGGACTCAAGGCAGCTTACATCTCCTCCTCCATCTTATCCCCACAACAACAACCCTGTGAGGTAGGTTGGGCTGAGAGTCTGTGACTGGCCCAAAGTCACCCAGTTGGCTCCATGGCTGAGCGGGGACTAGAACCCAGATCCTCTGAGTCCCAGTCCCATGCTCTTAGCTGGCGGCCAACTTATATACCCATTACTTACCTATACATCTCCTTGTCACTAAGTATTCTTTGCCCAAAATAATAAGTTTTTAAAAAAAGAAATAAGATTTCTGAGAAAAAGGAAAACCCCAAACCCATTAGTTTGTTCTAAATAAAGACAGGAGATGAAAAGTAAATGCACATTACGCAAATGTGTGCACGCATGCACACACAAGCATGTGTGCGCAGCAACATGCCCCAGCTATGCTGGATGGGAGTTGTTGGCCTCTTTTTCAGTCCCTTGCACAGGACTGCATCATTAATTCATACTGTGTGCTGCATACAGCAATTACTACAAAGCCATGTAATGATCTCTCTGAATCACACCATACAGTGGGTGTTGCGACATGGTAAGCTATTCATGTCCAGGAGCAAAGCTACAGTCTGATTTTCTCCATGCCACCCACTGCAAATAGCAGAAAAGAAAAGTACATAGTAGAGGGAAGAAACACATTCGAGCCTCTGCACTCAAAGTGCTTTTCTGCCTGAGACAGAACAATTTGAAACATCCTTCACTGGGGAGCCCTGAAAAGTCAATGTCCTTTGGACACATCACACTCTACTACTACTGTTGTTAGTCCCACCACCTCGCATTAATACTGCACCTCTTTCCTCTTGTAAGGGACCCAAGGTGGCTTACACAGCTCCATTTTATCCTCTTAACAACAGTCCTGTGAGGTAGTTTGGGCTGAGTCTGAGACTGGGGCAAAATCACCTAGTGTTCCTCATGGCCAAGTGGGGAATTAGAACCCAGCTCTCTTGGAACCTCAGTCCAACACCCTAACTCCCACACCACGTTGGCTCTTCTTATAGGTTAAAGCAAGCACCTTGAATTGGTCATTCAAACCTTCCCCTGATGTATACAGTGTAGGCTGTTTTCAAAGAGTGACGCCAAACTCAAAATGAGCACACAGAAGAAAATTGGCATAATTGCTCAGTCATATTGATAGGTAATTAATCATTAGTTTTGTTTAGGATGATTTTCTGCACAGCAGCTGGGATGCATTCTGTGGACTGGGCCACAGCATGAAGGACTCTTTCCCCTGCTCATCTTCCAAGCTGGTATAAAGAATAAATGGACACAAATCTGGTGATATCAGTGTGCAGACCAGTGAAAAAGCACTTTAGCAGATCTCTTTGTTACTGACCTTACATTTCACTCAGCCATTCTTGAATGAAACTTTAAAGGAAGACTCTAACACTAGACTACAAGATTACTACTACTAGATTATGACTTAGCAAGAAATTAACTTTCATGACTTCTAGCCTGTATTGGGTTCTCATCCTGTAGTAATCTTACCAATAGTAGGAGGTCTGTGTTATCAAATCAGTCCTGTGTAAACGGTCACTGAAATTATTTTACATACACTTAAGATTAAGAAAATGTTCTCTGTTTGCCTTTTTTACATTTCATTTCCCCTTGTAATTCCTTGCATATTTTTCTTTATGTATACCTACTAACTTAGAATAATATTTTAGGTTTCTTAGGTTAACACAGTCATGCATCTAATCTATACAAGTTTATGCCATACCGAATGCTATAATTTTCAAGGGGCCGCAAGGGGTCCACCTTTCCAACTGAGAGGCACTGATGGAGCCAAGAATCACAAAACGTCCTACATACCTGGTACTTGTCGTATACAACAGGTAGAGTAAACATTGACACCACAGCTAGATAAAGGAAAAAGAAAAAGTGTTACATTCCTGTTATTCCTGCATCACTCCCACACTGTGGAATTTGCTCTCCCAAAAAACTATGCTTGGTTCTAAATGTCTTGGCTTTTAGAAAAATAAACTGTTTAGTGTTTTTAAGGTTTTTGTGTTTTAAATTGCACTCCACTTTGATGACTTCTAAGTAGATAAGGTGATATATGAAAGTTAATCAGAAATATTTTTTTTTCATACAGGCGTTACAGTGATCTGTTCATGCAGAGTGCTCAGGAACAATATGTTCCTCACTGAAAGATGCAAAATGAATAGATAATGAAGTTCCCATTTCACGGATGTGACACAAATGAAGTGGTGAGAAGAGATCAGGAGAAAGAGAGAAAGTCAGGTGAAGTAGGGTGAGGAAATTAAGAAGCCCGCTAAATGTCTGTGTATGGGATTTGACACTTGGGTTCAATGCAACCTAAAATTATCAGCTTGAGTTGATTCTTCCCATCCATCATCATGGATGGTGATTTTATAGCAGGGCTTTCTGCAGGAAAACATGTCTCCAGTCCTATCCAGGATGTCTCCTCAGATGGGAATGCAGGTACTATAGAGCCCCATGGGATTCTTCTGTAGCAAAGCTACAGCCATGAACCCCTGGATCGGGCCCCCGAGGGCTGTACCTTCCTTGCAGAGTCTGAGGAGAAGACCTAGCATCCGTCCCACCCTAGCATGCACCAGGTCCAGAACAAAGAGGGACATACCATAAAATAGTAGAGCTGGAAGGGGCCATGAAGTCCAACCCCCTGCTCCATGCAGCAGGTTAAAGCACCACTGACAGAAGGCTGTCCGACTGTCTCTTGAATGCCTCCAGAGTGGGAGAGCTCACAACCCGCCCAGGCAATTGGTTCCATCGTTGGACTACTCTAACAGTCAAGAAGTTCTTCCTGATGCTCAGCTGGAACCTGGCTGCCTCTAATCTGAGCCTGTTGTTCCAATTCTGTGCCCTGCACTCTGGGATGATTGAAAAGCAATCCTGTCTGTGTGACAGCCTTTCAAAGACTTTTCAAAGTCCCATCTCCACTCAATCTTCTCTTCCCGAGGTTGGACATGCCCAGTTTTTTCAACCTCTGCTCACAGGGCTTTGCTGCCAGGCCTGTGATTGTCTTTGTTGTCCTCCTCTGAACTTTTTCCAGTTTGTCCCAATCTTTCTTGTAGCGCAGTGCCCAGAACTGGGCACAGTACATGAGATGGGGCCTAACTAGTGTTGCACAGAGAGGAACCAGCACCTCGTGTGATCTGAAGCCACACTATTAATGCAACCCAATACAGCGTTCACTTTTTGCCATCACATCACATTGTTGACTCATATCCAGCCTGTGATCCACAACAATCCCAAGTTCCTTCTCCCTTCTAGGCCACCACCCAGAGGCAAAACATGTGCCTTCGAAAGCACAACAACCAGGCTATTTGGAAATAATAGATTCCCAGCTAGTGGAGCCTTCCCCATGAGCGCAGCTTCTTTCAGAAGGCTCTGATGTGCTGCAGCTGACTCTTGACAGGGCTCTGGAAGGCTCAGTTGATAAGCCTTCATCTGGGACTGACCATCCGTTTCAGCATCCATCACCTTGAAATAGTGCCTGCCTTGATGATACTGTTCCTTGCGCTGGTAACTCCTGAAAAGGTCCTGCTTTTAACATCCCTCTTTTCCCAGAATGGCAATATAATGCCCTGGACCTTTGCCTGCCTTCTGCTTTGAACTGCCCTTGCCTGACTGCTGACTTTGCTAAAAGGATACATCCCATAATTGCTCCCAGGCCTGAGCCTGACCTATCCGAAGCAGAGGAAAATGAGTGCAAAGCTACATTATGCAAATGGACAAGTTATTCCTTCACGGAGCCCGGTTTTATCTTCTCCAGTAGGGAACAGCCTTCTCTGGGGTGTCAGCTTTCCCATTGTCTCCCTACGTCCCCCTCTTCTCGAGAGATGCCTGGGATCTTAAGAATGCAAGGCAGTTTCCCTACCACTGAGCTACTATGCTCGCCCCCCACCCCCGAAGTGTAGAGAATGGATTTAGAATATGTTAACACAGCCATAATTTTGCTCATTGCAAATGGAATGGGTGGGGGGAGTTTGAGGCTGGGGACATAATGAGAAAATTCTCCTGAATGAAAACTTTCACCACCTTAGTGCACAATCCTATGCAATTTTTTTTAAAAAAAAAATCCTATGCATCCTACTGATCGCTGTAAGACTTTTCCCTGTGTAAACAGGCATAGAATTGCACTTAACCTGACAAGACAGACACAACAGCAGTAGGCTGCAACAGGAATATGGTTTTTGTTTAATTAAAAGATTTAGCAAGGAAAGGAGGCTAGAAATAATTGGCACTTTAAGGCAGTAGGCAATCTGTAGATCCAGCTATCTGGAGAGCCACAACTTTCATCCACCCTAGCCTGCAAGTTGCTCATTCTGAAGAGAGTGCATTTCAATCTAGTTGACAAAACTGTTTTGTGTTCCAAAATTTCAGAGGAAGGATCTTAAAAATAATTGACCTTACCCATTATCAGAAGAGTTAGGCCATTGAAGAGAGCGCCAACATAAGTCAACAGCCACATAAGTACTGCAAACTAAATTGGAAATATAATCAACGTAATCATTTTCACAAGCACACTTGGGCAGTCAACACAATGATAAATAATTCTGGAAAATTTCGCTTTAATCCTCATCCTGGCACTAAGTTAATACTGAACTATTTATGCAGGCTGTAGAGTCTCAGATTGTAGCTCAGCTGAAAATTACAATGATTGGTTTTATACTCTATTGTTTTATTAGTATTGTACCCCACTATGAGATTGATTGATGTAGGGTGGGTTGTAGATATTTTGACTGATAAAAACATACATAATTATTCTTTTAGCCAAACCTCTATAAAAGCAAATTACAAATTATTAGCACTTTTTAACCAACCTACAAACTGTGTATTTTGTTCCTTCCCAAATTTGGTATTGAGCATAGCATTCAATGTTGCAATACTCTCAACTTTCTTCTAAAATTGCAGAAACCAAACAAGTTTCTAGCTCTTAGAACTATGAATGTATGTTTTGCAATGGGTACATCTCAGAAGCCAGAGTATGTTGAACAGAATTTCCAGTGGCTGGAGAAAGGAACTTCCATGTCTTGTATAGTTTTTATCTCACATGCTACGGAAAAAGAATAATTCAAAATGAGCAAATATATGCTAACATATCATTTACAGAAGCTTCAGAATGGAGTTTCCCTTGGCATAAAAGGTGACATTTGCTTAATGCAGAATGTATTTATTTAAAACACAGAGTGTACCCAGCACTTTCCATCAAACCTTTGCTTCAGTTAACTGATTTACTGAGGCCATTTCCCAAGCATATTTTTCATTTCACACGAGGTTTAAAAACTCAACCAATAATTAGTTCATATTCACACATCCCCAAAATATAGAGGGTGCCAAAAATGTATACACATTTTAAGAAAGGAAAACCTGCCTTAAAAACTGTTGCATGGTGATGCTATTATTCATTTGATTAATGCCATCTTTTGAGCAAACGTCATACTACACACTGCTATCATAATTCAATTCAACTTTGAAAAGTAATACATAGATACCATCTCTTAAAATGTCACCCCATTGGCTCCATGGCTGAACGGGGACTAGAACCCAGATTTCCTGAGTTCCAGTCCCACACTCTGAACCACTACACTGGATCCCAAAGAGCCCAGTTTTGTGCCCTCAGTCTCCCATCAACCAAAACATACTGGGTGTTATTATTGAACAAGGATTCCCTTGTCTATTGCTTTAATTTTTCTTTTTGCCTTCTCTGATTTCACCACCACCACCACCATGCCCTGCATGCTGAACTTCAGGGCTACTCCATTGCCAAGCCTCCACTGGCTCCTTCCCTGCCTTAACTTTTCCATTCAAGCTGGCCACCATAAGAAGGTTGACACTTGAAGAACTGGTTTCTGAGTGTGATCTTTCCTTCTTTTTTCACCATCTCCTTCCCTTTGGTATCGTCTTTTAGAGTATAAGCATACAGGAAGGACACTTTGAGAGCTGCTTAAAGTTAAGCCTGCTCTCTGTCTAACTGTCTGTCTTGTGTGTGTGTGTGTGTGTAAATGGCTTTAAATAAACAAACCTTTTATTATTAATTTGCCCAATCCATTTTTAAAGGAACTAACCCAGCAGCTTAGGGGTGGTGAACTCCATAATTAAGTGCTGCATAAAGATCTCATGTTCTAATACAAGGGTGTTGAACCTCTCAGTCTGAGGGCCAAATTCCATTTTAGGAAGGCTCTCAGTGGCTGCATTCCCATGATTAGTGGATCCAAGGGGAAAATCATGAATGCATAAGGGGCAGGGTGTTCCAACCCCCCCCCCCAGCCAATTACCAGGGTATTTTAGCTTAAAGTTCTTACTGCAAGTAACTCAGCTTTACAAAAGGCAGTTAAACCTTTTAGAATGGGAAAAACTGCATGGGACAGGAAACTGCAACTGATGATTGAAGGGAAGGGGGTGTGGCCATCTAGAAAACCGTGGCGAGCCAGACTGGGAGCCACTGATTTGGCCCTTGGCCCTTTGAGGTTCTGCATCCCTGCTCCAGCGTCATGGGAGAAGAGGGAAAGGTTCTGTCCACATTCTACTCCATTCATAATTTTATAAATTCCTTGAATTTTTGAAAACCTTCCAAGTTCTGGAAACTCCAAAGATGTCCTGCTTTCCCCTGTCCACATTTTTCTCTCCCAAACCCTCCCTGTTCTTTGGTGGCCACATACCTTTAAGGAATCCACCAAGTCCTGGACCAGAAAAAGCCTCCGGAGCTCTTTGACTGTGCTGTTCACATATGACTGCAGGCAATCTGTGTATTTCTGAATCTGTTCCTGGGAGAGAGACATTTCCATTTCCAAGTAGCTTCTGTTGAGAAAGCACAGCCCTGGTCATGAAATCAGCAGGGATTTGCCGCATGGCCTCTTTGCCTTTCCTTCCTAGCTTTGTGTGGCAACTCCAGAATTTATATAGGACATGGGCCAACTCCAGAATTTCTTTCTCCAATGTGCACCTCCTTAATTGGTTTAAAACCATTTCTATACTGCCTTCCATGAGTTAATAAGAAAAGAAGGACACCTCGGTTTTGCTTTGCTTAAAACTTTTAAAGGTTTTTCATTTCATCCCATTGCATCTTTGGGTTCCAGTTTTTGTGAACTGCCTTGGACAGCTTTGGTTATTGGATGGTATATGCAGGAAATAAAATGAATACAGTAAGAGTGCGGTCCATAGGATTGGCCATTTCTATTTAGTTCAAGCATGGCTTTAAGTATGTGCAGATGATCATTATGCCAATCAGCATATGGAACAGCAGGGACTACCTCTGAAGAAAACAAGCCATTCCCTGGATTCCAGGATGTGACCATCCGTGGACAGTAGGACACCCCTGGTGCTGCCGATTTTTCACTCCATGTCCCTCAAAGTCCTTCTGCATCTACTCAGTTGCCTCAAAACACTTGCAGCACCTTTCCTTCATCACGTTTCTGGCCCCTCAGTGCCTGGTAGGCCATTCTGTGCCCTTTCTGGTCAGTCCCTGTTATTTGGCCCTTGGCTGAAGAAGTAGCTTTATTTGTCTTCCCAGGAGCTGGTCTTGAGAAACAGGAAATAATTCCCATGAAGCAGTGGAAACCCTCAGATCAGACAGCATACTTGGAAAGACAACAGCTCTCTCTCTCTCTCCCTCCCTCTCTCTCTCATTCTCTCTCTGTCTGTCTCTGTCTCTCTCTCTCGTACACTCCCTCCCCACTGACACCTGTCAGCCACCCCCCAAGCCAATGCCTCATTCTCTTCAGAACAAGGCCCTGGGGGGCACGGACCAAGCATTCTGGAGAGGGACCATCCCAGCCCTCCAGAGCAGCCGTTTGCCCAGCTTCCCCCTTGAGGATGCGCCAGAGCAGGGCAGTGGGGACTGCCACCTGCTGCCACCTGCTGTGGCAAAGTGGCCAGCGTGGCTCTCTGCAGAGCCCACCTGGGCCAGCTGGGTCATTCCAAGAGGTTCCTTTCTTGAAGCGTGACCTGGAGGAGGCGGCGGCGGCCAGGGCTCCACAGAGAAGAGGAAGGGACTGAAGCGGAACAGGATAACATCTGTCCTGCCTTAGATGGCATGATATCGTGCCTTCTCTGGGTAAACATTAAGGTGAGGAGGGTATTAGCATTCACAGCCGCTTGGATTGCCCAGTTGCCTTGAGATGTGCATAGGAGGTATGCACATTCCAGACATTCGGAGCTACCGAGGAGGATTCGGATTCGGTAGACCTTCCAATGGCAACCCATTTCCTGCTCTTGCGGACGGTTCCTAGGGAAGGAAAGTTTGAATTCCGTGCAAACTACAGTTCCCTTGGCAGGAGCTGCACCGTACTCACTTGAAAGGGTGGCCTTCGTCGGTTTTTTGAACAGCCTGTAGGACTGACTTGTAGATTCTGAAGCTGATGGTGGCCGAGAGAGCAGCTAACGCCAGGTAGGCGATCACGCTGACGACGCTGAACTGGGTCAGGGAAAAGAGCAACAGCAGGACGCTCCCGAATGTGATGCCCGTCTGCTTGATGTCGCGCCAGTACAGCAGGTCAATAGCTGGGGGAGGAAGGACAAGGCATGAAAGCCAGAGGTTGGAAGGCGGCCAGCCAGGGCTGCCATCGCGGATGCGAGCGTGCGATGCTCCTCGGCAAGGGGCGACAGAAGGCAAGGGAAGGCAAGAAAAGCCTGATCCTGTGCAAAGCGAAGCTGCCAAAGGCCACTGAAATCTGCACAGTTCGGTTCATTGTTAACCCAGAAGGGTCTGCAACCCTTTGCCCAGTAAAGTGAATGGGAGGGATCAGGTGCACATTTTCTGCGTAAGGGCAGGCAGTTAGTCTGAAGAAAAGGAACATTCCTGTGCTTGCTTGGGACACAGGTCCCCAGAAGGTGCGAGGAACAAATTGGGATAAAGTAGCAGGTGAAAATAAATAATTCCCAAAGGCCTGAGAAAAGGGAGTTTATCTATTCAGGCATTCAGTCATAAAGATCAGAAGAGACTACAAACGTGTGCAGTAAATCCCCCAGTACCAAAAATAACTGACTGAGAGCAAACGCATTTCAACCCAAGGTTATCTTCCATGTGCACAATGGTATCTGGAAATATTTATTTATTTATTTAAAACGTTTGTATACCATCCCATCACTGACGTCTCGGGACAGTTTACAAGAACACCAATAAAATAGGATAAAGAGGTAAAAGTAGCACAGCGTCCAATAATAAATATAAAAACAGAAATTAAGACAATTAACAATTAAAATAGTGGGAAAATAGAAAGGTTTTCACCTGGCGCCAAAAGGAAAGAAGTGTTGGGGCCAGGCGAACCTCTTGGGAATGCGTTCCAGTCGAGGCGCCACCACAGAGAAGGCCCTCCTCTGGGCAGCCACCCTCCTTCAAGGAGGGCTCCCAGAGGACCTCTGCCTCAGATCTCAAGGGGTGGGAGGGCAGATAGGGGAGGAGGTGTTCCTTCAGGTATCCTGGTCCCAAGCCATTTGGGGCTTTATAGGTCATCACCAGGACCTTGAATTAGACCCGGACAATTGGTAGCCAGTGTAAGTGACAGAGGACTGGCGATCTCTCTCTCTCTCTCTCTCTCTCTCTCTCTCTCTCACACACACACACACACACACACACACACACACACACACGAGGCTTATATGCACACATACATATTTTACAATCTAAATCTCACAAACCAGTTAACCAATATAATAAACTATAGTATCACCACTGATAGCAGCACAAATCCATGGACTTTGCCAAACCCATGCCAAAACGTATGTATGTCTGAATGTTACAAAAGTGGAACAGTTCTATATTCCACTGCAGATATAAAGTTCTAGGAACTGTGGTGCTCATTGAGGTGAACCTGAATGTTATTGGACTCTTCCCTTGAAGAAACCTGCACTGTGGAAAAAACAGCCAACCTGCTGATGGAGAGTTGGATTCACCAGGGCCATTCTACAAACAACTCCTTCCATCGGCACAACATGCCCCCACCTTAACTATGTACCTTCAACATCTTTTCTGGAAGGCTGGGAATCCTGACGACCCCCAAGTAGATTTGTAGTCACTTGGGAGGATTTCAGGAGGGGAAGAGAGGATGGCCAACTGGCCAACTTCTGCTGGGATGACATTACATTCATCCCTGGTTTTTAACTTCCTCACCCAGCATTCCATTAAAATGAACTCTATTGGTGACTTGGAGCTACGTACCCACAAATAAAAAATTAAAAAGTTTAAAACCTCAATGATTGTACAAACTACAACACAATAGTAGCAACACGTTCTGAAACAGCAGCAAAACTTAAAATCAGTAATGAAGAATTTGAGAACAATTTATGGATTCCCTATCCCCAATTGCCTAGAAATAAAAACACACTTGTAAGCAGCCTCTTAAATAGTAGAGAAAGCTTGGAGAATTCCACGCTATGGGTGCCACTACCCGAAAATGCTTAGCAGCTTGTGCTAAGCATTGTGCTTCATCACCAGAACCACGGCTTGCAACTCAACCGATTACTCAGACAACAGTAAAGCTGTCAAAAGTGGATTATGACTAACCCAGAACTGCCCAATCTCAGATTTTTATCACCTTGAGCTGAAGTCACCAAGGCTTGGCGGCACAATATTTTGTGCCTAGAGTCACTGCTGTTCTTTTGACAGCCAGGGCTGAATTACCCCTCTATGACCGTGGGGTGAATATGTTGCTCCAAGGTGCACACCAAGCTTGGCTCGTACTGGTATCTTCATAACAAATGCAGATTGTTCCTTCATTTATGTAGTTAGTGTTTTTTTTTTTAATCCTGCCTTTCCATCTTAAAATGGAACTCGCACAATGAGTAATAACCATCATAAAATAACTATCCATAAAACAAAAAATAACCACAAAAATCAATGCTGAGAACAGGCAGCAGCAAGAATAGAACAAAACCCTACTGAAAAGCATGTCTAACTATCATTTTCAGCTGGCACCTAAAGCACAACTGGAGCTTTATCATCAAAAAGGCTGTGTGCGGTTTACCAGCCGAGTGCACCTCCAGCAGCAGGGGAACGAGCGACTGAGCTGTGTCTCTGAAGACCAAAGTGCACTGGCAGATCCTCATGGTGCAATCTGAATGGTCCTTCAGATATCCTGGGGCTTAACTAAAGGAACGCCTAAAGGAACGCCTGCTTCCATATTTGCCCTCCCGCCCCTTGAGATCGGCAGCAGAGGCCCTCCTCCGGGAACCCTCTGTGAAAGATATTAGGAGGGTGAGTACCCGGAGGAGGGCTTTCTCTGCGGTGGCGCCCCAACTATGGAATGCGCTCCCCAGAGAGGTCCGCCTGGCGCTGTCATTTGTTTTTCGGCGCCAGACCAAGACCGTTTTATTTAAACGATGTTTTAATAATTGTTGATATTATTTATTGGTTTAGAATATTCAGCCAGGATGTATCCAGATTTTATATGTATATTTGTATGTGTATTTATTTATGATGTTGGAAGCCGTCCCGAGGCTTATGCGAATGGGACGGCATACAAAAAAAAAAAAAATCCAAATAAATAAATAAATAAATAACTGTTTAGGGCTTTAAAAGTCAAAAGAACCAGCACTTTGAACTGGGCTTGGAAGCAGACTGGAAACTAGTGAAGTGAATACATGGTTTTAAAAGAATGGTGCAGTGGTTAAGAGTGCTAGGCTGGGACTTGGGAGATCCAGGTTCTAGTTCCCGCTCAGCCATGGAGCCAACCAGGTGACTTGGGGTCAGTCCCAGACTCTCAGCCCAACCTACCTCACAGGGTTGGTGTGGGGATAAGATTGAGATGAGAAGGAGAATTATGCAAACCACCTTGAATTCCTTGAAAGAACAAAAGGCAGGATATAAATATAATTAATGGATTGATTAACAGTTTAGCAGCTACATTTCAATGTTCCCTCTCGTTCAACATGTCCCACCGAACCAGAGGCACTGTGATGCTCTGCGGAAGTTGCCTTTTTGGGCCCTGGTGCATCTAGCCCAGTATGGTTGACCCTGAGCAGTAGCATCCAGGCAGAAATGTCTGGAGACTGGCCCTAGAAGCCCCTGCATGCAGAGCAGGGGGTTATCCATGGAGCCAAAGCCCCACCTCAGTTCAAACACCACTCATCTAGGAAAAATTCTAGTAATAAGCAATCTATTAAATCACTGAAGCTTGCTGCCCTTTGTTGGCACTCAAAATCCTGCCACACAGTGTCTTTTTCTCCTGGTAAAGCTGCATTAGAATTGCGTGTGTGTAGCAGCATCCCAAACTGATGCGGACATCAGACTTCATGAACTGGCCTACCCAATCCTAGTGCCTCCAGACATGTTGGACCACTCAGCATCCATAATCCTCAGCCTGGAAATGATGGGAGCTGCTGTTCAATATATATCCAAAGAGCACCGGGTTGGAGAAGGCTGTGATAAGCCACTGAAATGGGCTTGGTAGGGTGTCAACCGCACAACCAAGCTGAGAAAGTAGTGTTAATGGGCCTCTAAAACCCTGCTGGGCACAAGCCATACAGGGACTTGTGGGTCAAAAGCGGAAAGCTAAGCTGTGCGCCTTGATGCATATGTGTTTTCAGGTCAGCTACTTTAGAAGTTTGACTGCTAAATCAATGCCTATCCAGATGACAAAACAACCCAGAGATCACAGGATGACTCACAGCTGGAATTCTAGCTTTATCACATTCATTAAAGAAATAATTGGCTAATGCAACAATGAGGCACTAGCATTTTTTCAATTGCCTCAGAAATAGCAGACACTTCATAATCAAAGCAGCTCCCAACTCGATCACGTCACCACTGTTTTTGCTGTCTTTCTGAAGATGCTTTTCACTCTTTGAAAGAGAAAAATTGTGTGTGTGTGTCTGAAGGAAAAGAAGAAAGAGGCGATTGTTCTTTCAAGCACATCAGTGAAGAGCTGACAGGTAATGGAAATACGTGGCGGGGATGTACATGCGGAGGAGATGGAAAGAAAGGAGCGAGAAGCAGTAACATCTCCCAATCAAAAGTATGAATAATGGAACAGCTTTTCGTATGCCTCCAGGCAGCATGTATCCTGCTGAAAGATGGCAGAATTTCTTTTTGTTCCTGGCTATTTCTGTTTGAGAAGCTTGCTATCATCAGTCTCATTTCTTCAGGAGCTGTGCATGTCAAGAACTTTCCCCTTTTATTTTCGTAATGTTTTGGAAAAGTCCAGAGGTGTTTGGATCTCTGCAGAGAAGATCTTAGCAAAGCTCTTCTGAGTTCCTCAGATGTTTTGACTGCAAGAGGAAATGCCAAAATATTGCTCTGTACCAAAGCTGGCAACATTCACTGCCAGTCTAGGGATGTATTGATCCCTCCCCTCAACCCAAAAAAGTCACTGGTTTTATCCAAACATTTTAGGTGTAGGACGCCTCTGAATGAGGACTCCTAGCACTACTGATCATAAGACCTCCTGCACCTATTCTGTCTTTTCCTCCTAAATGAATTTGTTTTCTGTTAAGAACAAAGATGGAAGAAGTGATGGAAAGCACAAGATGGTTTTGAATGGATGGGAACTTCAGGACACAGACAT